CAAAAACTGGTTCCCCTGGATGGCAAGACCAATATAGGTGAGGCTGAATCCATTGACCTTGCCTCTCAGGAGCCCCTATGTGCACGTCCTCCAACACAGATTTGCTTGTCCTTTTGGAAGTCCATGGGAGAGTAAGTGCTTTTCTCTGACACCACAATGCAAAGACATCATTCTTTGTTCTTCCATATTCATTTTCCAGTTTTCTAGTTATAGGAAGCAATTGAAAATGCTGTGGCTGGGATTAAGCACCACTTGATCTTTAAACTGACATCATTGCTCTTTATCAATCTGAAGAGATCTTTGACTACACATTTTCCCAGTGCACCATGTCTTTTGAATTTTTGACGTCTGCTCCACTGAATAATGATTGTAGATCCAAGGAAATTGAAGTAGTTATCAACTTCAGTCTTTATCTGTCTTGATGTTGTCTGTTGGTCTAGAGGTAAGGGTTTTTATTTTCTAGATATAGCGATATCATTCATATAGAAAGCTGTAGTCTTTCATCGTCTCCTGTCTTTTTCACTATCTGCGATCCAGATTGTATTATCTGCATGATGCAGATTATTGATGAATCTTTCTCCAATTCTGACATTCTTCTTCATATAGTCCAGCTCAGCATACAGATTGAGTAGGAATGGAAACAGATACAACCCTGAGGCATGTGTTTCCTGATTTTAAACCATTGTGTTTTTGTGCTGCTAAGTTGCCTGTGACTCATCTCTGAACCTTCTTCTATCCTGAGCCAACCTTATTGTTGCTGGCACACCTACCCTTTTTACCCCCATCACTGAATCAATCCGTCTCATCAAGGGTCTTTGTTTCTTGTGCTGTCCCTCCAACCATGCAAACATAATGTCCGTATCTAAGGACTGATCCCTCCTTGCAACATGCCCAAAGTATGTCAGACAGAGCTTCAGAATCCTTGCCTCCAAGGAGCAGCTTGGTTTCAATCCCTCTAGGATGAATCTGTTTATTCTCTCAGCAGTCCATGCTTCAGTACTCTTTTCCAGCACCACAGCTCAAACACATTCAGTTCTCTTTTCTATCATCTCTCATCATTTGTCCAGCTTTCTGATGCATAGGATGTAATTGCGAAGACAATGGCCTGGGTCAGGTGCATCTTAGTCTCCAGCCTGGCATTCTTGCTTTTCAGTACTCTGGAGATGTTCTTATCAGCACACTTTCCCAGTGCAGTTCATCTTTTGATTTCCTGGTTGCTGGTACCAAAAATTGATTGTGGAGCCAAGGAAACTAAAGGCATTAACAATCTGAATCTCTTCACCTTCTCTCATGATGCTGCCATTAGGCCTAGTGATGATCATCTTTGTTTTCTTGATGTTGATGTCCATATCCAAGGCTGAAGCCCTTGACATTCTGCAGCAAACACTTCAGTTCCTCCTCAGTTTCATCAAGCAGGGTTTTGTCATCTACATAACACAGGTTATTGATGAGTCTTCCTCCAATCCTGATGCCACGCTCCTCCTCATAAAGCCCAGCCTCCTGGATGATCTGCCCAAGTATAGGTTTCACATAAGCACAATCAAGTGTTCTGAGATTCCTGTTCTTAGAGTCAGCCACAGTTTGTTATGATCCACACAATCAAATGCCTTTGAATAATCAATGAAAAAACAGGTAGATATTCCTCTGGAACTTTCTTCTTTCAGCCAAGATCCATCTAACATTAGCTGTAATATTCCTAGTGCCATGACCAAGAGCCTGTGGTGATGATGGAGGAAGTTCAAGCTGCTCTGAAGGAATTGGCAAAAAAACAAGGTCCCAGGAATTGACAGAATACCAAATGACATATTTCAACAAACATACGCTGCCCTGAATGTGCGCACCAAGTTGTGTCAGAAAATTGGAGGACAACCACCTGGCCAACTGACTGGAAGAGATCGATATTTGTTCCCATTCCAAAGGAAGGTGACCCAACAGAGTGTGGAATTTTCAACCGTTAATTGTTCTTTTTTTCTGTTGAAACAGCTGCTGCATGGTTTATGTACAGATTTCTCATGAAAACAGTTCTAGGATCCATAGTCTTGCCAGTGTTGTCTCTAGTTTATTATTATCCACATAGTCAAATGCCTTTGCATAGTCAATAAAAGACAAGTAAACATCTTTCTGATATTTGCTTTGCCCATAGAATCCTTCAGTATTGAACCGTGATGCCAGAAATTTCTTTTTCAATTCTGTCAACTTGAGAAATACCAAACATATTCTTCTCTTTTAATTTTATTATGCTATGGGTTTACACTTTTAATTATAATACTTTACCATTGCTTCTTAAATGGCTCTTTGAATTTTTCTGTTCAGGTCTTTTTATGTCATTTATTATATTAGCTGTAGCTGTTCTACATTCAAGAACAAGAGTCAGTATCTTCTAATACTCATTTTTATCTTTTCTTTCTTATTTTTAAATAGTTTCTGTTTAAATTTTTTAATGGATCCTCCTCCACCCCCCAAAATGAACTTGGCTTTCTTCAGTGTCATTCCCCAACTCATGTGGTATTTGGTAATCATGGTCAGAATCTACTCTTGACATGTTTTCTGAGTTCATGTGGAATATAGTGAAAGTCATCCTTTGCTGTCATGGACTTGTTTAATTTTCTTTCAAGATGGACTTGAATATGATCAGTATATGATCTGTTCTGCAGTTGGCCCCTGGCCTTATTCTGACTGATGACACTGAGCTTCTCTGTCATCTCTTTCCAGAGATGTAATCACTTCAGTTAGGGAGCTCTGGTGACCTAGTGGTTAGAAGCTACACTGCTATCCTGAAGGCACTGAGCTCAAATCCACCAGCTGCTCTGTGGAAGAAGGATGGGAAGTCTCATCCCATACAATTTACTGCCTCTGAATACATGCTGGAGGATCAGCTGTGGTTCATTTCTTACTCAATAGTGCACAACAACAATATTAAGTCAGTTTGATTACTGTGTAGTCTCATGTGTCCATTCATGTTGTTGAATTATTTGCAGTAAGTTATGGGTCAGACAAAAGTCTGTCATGCAATCTCTGACATTGTTTCTATCACAAAGACCGTATTTTCCAACTGCTGATCCTTTGTCTTTTTTTTCAGCTTTCACATTCCAGTTAACAGTTATTATCAATGCGTGTTGGATGCATGTTTTGTGATTTTCATTCTGCAGAACTTGGTTAAAATCTTTAGTTTCCCCATTTTTTTCATCGGTGATTAATGCATAAATTTGAATAGTTGTCACATTAAGCGGCTTCCCTGTAAGTATATGGATATTATTCTAACCCTGAAAGCATAGTTCTTCAGAACAAGTCTTAAGATGTGCTTTTTGGTGATGAACACTACATCATTGCCCCTCACTTTGTCATTTGTGGCCTAACAGACTGTAGGCTTGTGTGACTGAAAATGGCCAATACCAATCCATTTCAGCCAGCTAATCTCCAAGCTTATTGATCTTTATGCATCCCATATAATTTTGCATAACTATGAATATTTCTAGATTCATATTTTATACATTCCACATTCCAAATATTACTCATCTTGAATTGTACCACATCAGAAAATGATGCTGCTGAGAGTTTTATTCCATACACATAATTAAGACCTCTATTTTAAGGACCTCTTCAAAGGTCTGATCAAGGAAAAGGGGAAAGAGGGGGGAAGACACTGAGAACCAGTGGCCTCATGTGAACCTAAACCGGCTAGAACCTCATCTTGTGGCACTGAAGGAAATTCAGAGAGGCACCTCTCCCGGGAGTTATGTAGCTCATCTTCCTGTAGAGATCAAGTTTCTTTCCAAACTACATGAGACTAATATTCACACTCCGCTGGAAGGCTGCTTCTTAGAAAAACAAGCTTTATTTTCAACTCCCTGTCTGTTTAACCTTTCTGCTGACTTTTCCTCTCAGCTTTTTTTCCTGCAAAATACAGATAATATACTTGTCTAACTCCCCAGAAACCTTTACTAATGTCTTCTAAGAGCTAGGATGAGACCAGTAACTCATTTACCAAGTCAGTTATCATCACACTTTCTTAGCTGGGGCAATATCACCCCCAAGGGGGAAAATTGGTTTTTGCAAGATTTAAAAAGTTAGGGGAAAATCTTACAATGGCTTACAAAATCTTGTTCCATGATATTTAATTTCCCTTGTTAGGGAAAAATTAAATTTACTTCTTTCCTCTTATTGGGCTGATAATGACAAAAAGTGGAGATGTATGCTAGATGATAATATTATTCAGCCAAACACAACTGAACCAAACTGAGTTCAAGCCAAGGAGAATGAAAAATTATCTTGTTCTTACATTTTTATAAAAAAGGAAGGAGGGAGGTAGTAATTTTCTATAATATGTACTTCATGCTATAATTTCCTGTAAATCACACCAGCTTCAAACTTATTTTTAATATCTTTGTTAAGTCTGTGAGGAAATCTTTATTCATCCATGCAACAGATCTGTGGAGTCTAGAAATAGTTCTATAATCAAAGATTTCTTTTATTGCAAAGCATACATTTTACTTTAAAACCTGAGCTTTCCCAAGGTAGCATTTCTGGAAGGACAGGGACTGTGTAGTTCTTTTTATCCGTATATTACTGTTGCCTAACTCAGTGTAGTTATTGGTTCAGCATGTTTGATAGTGAGGAAAGTCTGGGGTAATGAAAGAACTTTAGTCTAACCAGTTCCAGGACTTGGATGAGTCAAGAGAGGAGGTGCCTGGGGTGCAAAATCTGAGGAGGCCCTTGCACAGCCCTTTTCTTGTGTTCTGTCCATGCCTTACCTTCCTCATCCTCGTCTTAGCTCTGATTATTTCAGTCATAGACTCCCATTTCTAAACCCTTCCCTTTTCAGAGTTTATTTACACAGGTGGATTCTGTGTCAGCCGGGTGAGCACAGGAGCACAGAAATAAAGACTTTGAGACAACATATTTCAGCACCAGTTCTAACTGAATTTCTTCACTAATAAGAGTTGCATGTGACTCACGTTGACAGCAGAGACCCACATGTGTTCATTTCTTTGGTCTTCTAGATCACCACGGATCTGAGGCAGCGCTGCACAGACAACCACACCGGGACGTCGGCCTCAGCCCCCATGGCTGCGGGCATCATCGCCTTGGCCCTGGAAGCCAAGTAAGCCTTCATCTCTATATCTTCTTCACTGGTGGCAGCCCCCCTCCCTAGCATCATAGCCCAGCATACAGTCTTCCTAACCCTCTAAAATGTTATAGATAAGGGCTTTACAAAAAAAAAAACCCCAAACCACAAAAAACACCACACACACCACACAAAACAAAGCCCTCTTTTCCTAGAGTTAAGGAAGAAGGTAAATTTTGGGGTTTTATATTCTTTTTAAAAATCCAGCTCTGCAGTTACTTTATTATGGAGTCATAGTAGAGGTGTGCCAGTTGGCTCCAGTGCTGCTGTCTAGCTGCGGTTTGGGTCTGGTCTGGGAATGTTCCGGGGAGTCTTGGGGAGGCTACGTCTGTACACGGCAGCCCCCTTCCCTGCAGAGCAACGAGCCGCTCTGGTTCCATGACAGTAGCTCCCAGAGTGCTCTTAGGGAAAGAATATGTCAAGATCATATGACAGGAGCCAGGACCAGGTACAACCCATGAATCTCAAATCCTGCTCACAATAGTCCAACTCCATGTCTAAAATACCAGTGTGAAAAGCCCATTTGTGTAAGGTGTGGTAGGTCTTCTCTCTCCCTTTCTTCTCTGAGCACAAATAGATCCATTTATTTTAACTCGTTGAACAACTTTAATAAAAGTCTACAATCTCTTAGCCTCAATTGCAAGATACAAAATGCCTTAAAATCTGAAAAGCATTAAAAAAAAATACTGACATCAAAGTTTATTGATGACAAATTGAACAGATTTGAGGCTGTTTATAGATTTTATTTACTTTCCATTTATTATGAAGAAGAATACATTTACTACAGAAATATTCATGAATGTAATTGCAATATACTGGACCAGTATATAAATCTTGCTGGAGATTTTGTGTGATACATGTTTTGGAGCACTGTATCTGAAAAAAATTGTGGAATCTAAAATATGTGTAGTCCCAGAATTCTTGTTAAGATGGTGTGTGTGCAGGCGTACTCTGAGGCCCCCTTTGCCAGAGGAACAACAAAAAGGAACTGGAATGATAGCTTAAGTGTTTTTAGAGTGTAGCTTCATCCCACCTCCTAGGTACAGACAGAAAAGCCAGTCCATCTAGCTTCACCCTCGTGTAAGGGCAGGGGAAATGCTGGGAAGAATGATGAAGAGGCTCCAGCATTAAAGTAGGAAATGGTGTGTTTTCATTCCAGAAGTGACTGCCCAACATTTAGAGAGTCTCCTCTGAGAAGGAGTTAGGCCCTCATGTAATATGGATACAGTAAACTGATGGTCATGCTGCACATTGCACTGAGTTATCCAGAAAAGTAGAGGCTCTCAATCTGGCACCAGGCTCTCCAGATGACCTTCTCACCAAGCTTTGACATTGAGAAATAGTTGAACCTACTACGTGTTTGGATTTCTTTGATCAAGAAGAGGTTAAAGATTGAGTTATTTCAACATTATATATCTTCTAAGTTGTTAAAATGTTTGGGTTCAGCAAAGAAGTAGCTTTTACTAAATTCTGACCATAACTTTCTGCCAGAGTACCTGAAAGCAGACATTTTAATCAGGTATATATGTGTTTTTATTTGGTGACCTTAAATAGAACTTTAAGTATATGTTGTTTTCCTTCTTACACTCTTGATTGTTGCTTTGGACTATTTTCCTGTCTATAAAATATTAAAAGAGAAAAAAATATCAAGACAGTATTCCTCTATCCTGTAATTTCCCCCAGAGCTCTCAAAATAGGTTATAATCTAACGCTCAAATGGGACACCATAGTACGATTACAATATAGCTGTCTCCACAGAAACCTAGATGACATTCATTTCTTTAAGATTTTATAGTAGTGCTATTCTTTTCAGCGGGAGCTCCAGTAGCCAAGAGGATAGGGAATTATGATGCCAGTCACAGGCAGCTGGTTTGAATCCACCAACTATTCCACTGGAGAAAGATGGGCAGTCTCTTACTGTGTGATTTACAGCCTCTGAAAACCTGCTGGAGGGTCAGCTGTGAGTCAGTTCTGATTCTACAGATATGAGAGAGTCAGTGGTTCTTCCCATTAGTAGCTCTAAACAGTAGCTCTAAAAAAGTAAAAATTTTTCCTCAGACAGTAAATGTATACACTAAAAGTTATATCTGGGGTTTTTTTTTCTTTTTGTATTAGGAACGTGTTTTATTGTTTTAGTTTAGTGTTTTGTTTTTGTTTTTGTTGTTTTTTTAGATTGATTGTGCCAAAATTTTGATAGGTAGGGAAAGAAGAAATTCTTCAAATGACCATTTATAGTTTAACAGCATATTAATATATGAGGCCTTCAGTTCAAGTATGAGGTCCAAACAGATGGTAAAAATAGAATGAAGTGAAAAAGAAAAATCCTTTCAAGGCTGTGGGTTTACTCTTCAGACCAGTGTTTGCCTTTAGGTAAAGCTTAAAATTTGGGGAAAAAAGTCACTGTAAGAATGAATGGATCTGATATTGATGCTGAACTCATATGTGTAAAGAGTGGGTCTTCAGTATGAGTGAAAAATAGTTAAAAGTAAAGATTTACATAAAGGAGCTTAAGCAACAGTGGTTATGTAAGTGGTTAACAGACTAAATTGTTCTTTTACAATCTAAAGTTAATCCTAGTCTTTATAAAAGCTCCTCACATAGCTTCCCAGCCTTCACCTCTTGTTATTTCTACTCACATCATGACTTCTTAACAACCCTTGAACCTTGGTATATTAAGAGTCATTCTTTTTGTTCCCAAGTTGAATAGACCAGTGTAGAAGATACTTCTTTTTAGTTTCCATGAAATAGTCATAGGAGAGGAAAGAAATCCACCAATAAGCAGCATTTTGGCTCTTTAAACTGCCTGGTGCTCCGAGCATGCACTTCCTGCCCTGAACAGTTTGCTGAGCAACTAGATGGGGCTTAGCTGTCAGTGGAAAACCACAGGCTGGGGCTTCAGGTCCCTCTTCGCCTCTGTATCTTGGTTCTCTCTGCAATGCAAGGTACTCTCTTTTCTCAAAATGTGGCTAAAGGATTACATTTACTCAGCCATAGAAACATCAGGCAAAACTCCTGCATCATAAACTTCCCTGTACCTGCTTCTTTGACATTGCCCGGGTGCTTGTGTGGATCAGGAGACAGAACTGTGGATCCTATTGTGCATTGGCTTTTTACCACTGGCTTTTCCCTCATTCTGATTCTCCTTATACTCCTGAAGTTGGGATTTTTAAAAATATCAACAAAAAACCCCAAAGAAACCCCAGCTTCTTCTCAGGAAACTAGGAGAAAAGAAAACAGCAAATACAAATACAGCAAATAGAAACAGATCTTTCATACTGTGGGTTGACTGAGACATCTCCTAAAGTATAGGTTTCTCCTGCATGCGTAGCAGAAGATTGAATATGAATTAACTTTGATAATGACTGCTAGAGAGCTCTGGTGAAGAGTGTCCAACTGGTAAAGAGTTGCTCTGCCAGCCCAAAGGCACAAGGTTCAAATCCACCAGCTGATCAAAGGAAAAAATAATGAGCAATCTCCTCCTGTGTGATTTATAGCCTCTGAAACCTCCATGGAGCGTCAGCTATGAGTCACTTCCAACTCACTGACAAATAACAACAACAACATGACAATTAAGGTGACCTCCAGGCTATAATTTTTCCTTGGGATTATATTAATAATACATAAACTCCACTAGATACCATGGATACGTAGATGGTGGGTTGCTTCCAAGACTGAAAGGATTTTCCAGTCCTGCAAAAATTAGACTTCTGAACTTTTCTCTTAAAGCAACCAATTGATTCAGTGCTCTTCCCTACCCTTGGGATGTGTGTCTTAACCCATGCTGTACTCTACTCCATCAGCATCCCCTTCCACTCACACCTACACCATTCAACATCTCTCTCCCCCTGTCCATCCCTTGATAGGATGGCTTAAGTCTCAAGCCTTCTAGTCTTCTGTGGTTCCAAATGCCTTGCAGTGCTGCCAGTCTCTAGCTGTGGACAGTATTTCTTGAATTGAAGTCTCTAAGTCTATTTGGATGTAGAGATACTATTATTAGGGAAGGCTTCCTATCTCAGACCTTTTCACTGTTCCCAAAGATTCATCCTGGGTGCCTGAAACTATAAATTCTTTACTCTTCTAAAAATAATGAGCTATTTCAAAATGAGAGAAAAAAAAACCATCGTCTTACCAGAAGAGAGAATTTGTCTTCTGTTGAAGAACCCTTCTTGCATATGTATTAATTCAGAAGGTTGATAATAGTTTGTTAATTTTTTGCAGTAATTGTATAAATTTTTTATAAGTTCTTTATCCACTGAGTGAACCGAGAACATGTAATCAGTGATTGCAAGTGAATTAATATAGGCTATTGTACATAAAATAATGTCTTTCTATGAAGCTAAGCCAGAAAGCTTAAGAGAAAGGGATGTTCAGGCAGCAGGTTTAATAAGTTAACAAAGTGGTAAAAACCTGTCACCGTTTTTAGATGAGCAATCACGAAGAACACTAAGTCACATTTAGAAGGCATTTTATATCTCTATCTTAGTAAATATTACCAGGATTCTAGACCCATCAGAAAGCATAAAAGCCTACCAGGCAAAAAGATATTTCATATAGAATTGTTTATAAAGTAAATTGAAAGTAACAGACATTCATATTGATGTAGAGTGCACAAATAATGAATTGTCTTTCTGAAAGTTTTTTTCCCTACTTGAACCTATAATTATTAACAGTGAAAACCTATTTTAGTGGAGTATATTGTTTGTTCAAATACCAGCATTAACTTGGGAAACTCAAAGTGGGAATTTACTGAAGAAGCCTTTTTGTCTTGCATTGCAAAGAGGCTCTCATTGGAAAATAGAGCAGTATATAATCAGCAATCGAGAAATGGTTCCTGGGTAGTGACTGGAAAAGAAGAGATTGAGTCAGATAGAAACTTCAGAAATGATTTAGGACTGAGAGGAAAGAGTATATCAGTGTAAAGAATCTTCTTCAAATCCTTGTCCTGTGTTCCTCCCAAAGTCTTTTCCCTGTTATTT